AACAAGCTTTGCACGTCTCAAGAAATGGACCGGAGGACAACCAGGGCCAGAGGACCACAGGAACGCGGGACCAGGGACCAGGACCGGAGGACCAAAGGACCAGAGGACCAAAGGACCGGAACGGAAGACCAGAGGACCACCGGACCACGGGACCAGAGGACCACGGGACCCGGGACGCGAGCCACAACTCTTAAAGACAAGAAGCCCGAGCCACACCTTAAAAAGGAATGTCTGGGCCCCATCAAACAATCGGATCACAAACATCAAGACTAACAAAATGGGGCTTTTTGTTTGGTACCGCCCAGGGGGCTAAAGGGATGAGTAGATAAGTAAGGCGTTGTTGCTGCTGTTCTTGCTGCTGCTGCTGTTCTTGCTGCTGCTGCTGCTGCTGCTGCTGCTGCTGCTGCTGCTGCTGCTGCTGCTGCTGCTGCTGCTGCTGCTGCTGCTGCTGCTGCTGCTGCTGCTTCTGCTGCTGCTGCTGCTGCTGCTGCTGCTGCTGCTGCTGCTGCTGCTGCTGCTGCTGCTGCTGCTGCTGCTGCTGCTGCTGCTGCTGCTGCTGCTGCTGCTGCTGCTGCTGCTGCTGCTGCTGCTGCTGCTGCTGCTGCTGCTGCTGCTGCTGCTGCTGCTGCTGCTGCTGCTGCTGCTGCTGCTGCTGCTGCTGCTGCTGCTGCTGCTGCTGCTGCTGCTGCTGCTGCTGCTGCTGCTGCTGCTGCTGTCGTCGTGCTGCTGTCGTCGTTGCTGCTGTCGTTGCTGCTGTCGTTGCTGCTGTCGTTGCTGCTGTCGTTGCTGCTGTCGTTGCTGCTGTCGTTGCTGCTGTCGTTGCTGCTGTCGTTGCTGCTGTCGTTGCTGCTGTCGTTGCTGCTGTCGTTGCTGCTATCGTTGCTGCTGTCGTTGTTGCTGTCGTTGTTGCTGTCGTTGTTGTTGTCGTTGCTGTCGTTGCTGTCGTTGTTGTCATGGTCGTCGTCGTCGTCGTCGTCGTCGTCCTCGTCCTCGTCCTCGTCCTCGTCCTCGTCCTCCTCGTCGTCGTCGTCGTCGTCGTCGTCGTCGTCGTCGTCGTCGTCGTCGACGCCGCTGCTGCTGCTGCTGTTGCTGCTGCTGAGTGTTTGTATCTCTCAAAGTTCTCGGATTCTTGGGCGGGTGGGTATTTTTGCACACTTGACAAGCTGCTTGACTAGCGAATGCTTGGGCTTGAACCCTAAGCCCTAAACCCTAAACCCTAAACCCCAAGCCCTAAACCCTAACCCTAAACCCTAAACCCCTTCCGTGCAACCGCCAAGAGAACAGCCCCTGTCACTCGGCTTCGCACTCAGGCATTGCGCATTGGAGGTTCGGGCCTGGGATGGTTTGGGGTTCAGGGTTTAGGGTGCAGGGTTTCGGGTGTAGGGTTTGGGGTTTAGGGTTTAGGGTTTAGGGTTTAGGGTTTAGGGTTTAGGGGTTAGGGCTAGGTTGCTTTCTGGCCTTCAGCGTCTTGCGGTTAAGGATTTGGGCCACTAGGTGGTGAAGGGTTTATTGCACGGGCTATTTTGGGGCTTAAGACGGCCAGGGTTCAAGAATTCTGGGCGTTGAGGGTTGCGAGCACGAGGACTGTAAGAACGTTTCGGGAAAGTTAAGGGTTCAGGGGAACGCCCGAAACCCTACGCTTTCAGTCCAGCATAGAACTTCTGGATGTATGGTTGAGTTCAACTCAGGACGTCCCGTCGGGGTCGGCTGGCAAGTAAGCCGGTAAGTAGCCTGGCCCTAAACCCTAAATCCTAAACCCTAAACCCTAAACCCCAAACCCTAAACCCTGAACGGCACCAGAAGGGCTTGAGAGGTGTCACTCTGAGTCCCTGAACCTTACTTGGAGGTTTATGGTACTTATGAACCAATTATAACTGTACTTCTAACTGTATAGGGTTTAGGGTTTAGGGTTCAGGGTTTAGGGTTTAGGGTTTAGGTAGGGTTTAGGGTTTAGGGTTTAGGGTCCGCCGACCCTGGTTCCCTCCTTACCCCCCGGGGGGGTCGGTGCACAATTTTTTCGTGGAGGACCGCGCCACCCACACAGATCAGCGTTTTCGGCACCCCCAACCCCCCCCCCGCCCCCCCACCCCCCCCCCCCCCCCCCCCGCCCCCCCCCCCCCCCCCCCCCCCCCCCCCCCCCCCCCACCCCCCCCCCCCCCCCCCCCCCCCCCCCCCCCCCCCCCACACCCCACCCCCCCCCCCCCACCCCCCCCCCCACCCCCACCCACCTGTCTTTTTGGCTACCCCCGACCCCCCCCCAAACGTTTCACAGAACTCTGCCGAGCAGGCTGGGATGATCTTCGAACCATGCGAGCGGGTTTAGACCTGCTCTTAAATTTAGGGTTTAGGGTTTAGGGTTTAGGGTTTAGGGTTTAGGGTTTAGGGTTTAGGGTTTAGGGTTTAGGGGGGCACTGAAGGGGCTTATAAGGGATTCTAAGTACAACTATGATTGTTTAACAAGTACCAAGAACCTCCAAGTAAGGCAGAACAGAGGGTGCCCCTTTTTAGCTGCTTCGCAGTGGAAGGTGCACGATGGTTCGCCGCTGTTTCGGGTTTTGACTCGTCTGTTTGCCTCTCGGTGCGGGCTTCAGGTTTAGGGGGCCCTAAACCCTAAACCCTAAACCCTAAACCCTAAACCCTAAACCCTAAACCCTAAACCCTAAACCCTAAACCCTAAACCCTAAACCCTAAACCCTAACCCTAGGGGGCGCCTAGGGTGTTTAGGGTTTCTGGTGTTTTTTCATGGCCCAGTTCAAACTTAAACAACTTTACGATGGGTCGACCCGAATCTGGGTGGAGCTCACTTCCGCTCGCTCACGCTCAAGAATCCGAAGCCCTATGAGCATCTTGAATAGGGTTTAGGGTCTTAGGGTTTAGGGTTTACGGTTCAGGGTTTAGGGGTTTAGGGGTTTAGGGGTTTAGGGGTTTAGGGGTTTAGGGGTTTAGGGGTTTAGGGGTTTAGGGGTTTAGGGGTTTAGGGGTTTAGGTTTAGGGGTTTAGGGGTTTAGGGGTTTAGGGGTTTAGGGGTTTAGGGGTTTAGGGGTTTAGGGGTTTAGGGGTTTAGGGGTTTAGGGGTTTAGGGGTTTAGGGGTTTAGGGGTTTAGGGGTTTAGGGGTTTAGGGGGTTAGGGGGTTAGGGGTTTAGGGGTTTAGGGGTTTAGGGGTTTAGGGGTTTAGGGGTTTAGGGGTTTAGGGGTGTAGGGGTTTAGGGGTTTAGGGGTTTAGGGGTTTAGGAATTCTTTCGATGTCGCTCTTGAACCCTGAGTCCCTTTAAAGAGCAGCTGAGCCTGATACCCTGGCACACATCTTCTGCTTGGGTGGTCGGGGCGGCAGGCTACTTAGGTGTCAAGCTCAAGAAGGGCAAATGAAAGCTCTGAAGCGAGAAACAAGTTAAGGTTCCCTACACCCTAAACCCTAAACCCTAAACCCTAAACCCTAAACCCTAAACCGATTCACCAAACCCTCTCGGTCCGAGGCTGGCGGTGGAGTCACCTTGGGCATCAGCGGCCTGTTCTTCAGTTTGGCCTGGCAAGGACATGGCATGTAGGCTCAGCTTAGGGTACAGTAGGGTTTAGGGTTGAGGGTTGAGGGTTTGGGGGTTTGGGGGTTTGGGGGTCTAGGGTTCTAGGGTTTAGGGTTTCGGGTTTAGGGTTAAGGGTTTGCTGTGATAGGGCGTGGGTGCTGTGAAGGTTAGGTTTCGGAACAAGCTCGAAAGCTTCGTGAGGTGCGAAGAGCAGCTTTGGCCCGATTGTGGAGGGCCATCTAACACTTTTCTCCCACCCCACGCCATCCGAGGCGGCAAAGCCACCCAAACCTATTCCTTTTAGGGTTTAGGCCTAAACTCAAGGCAACAGTCCACTTCTAAAAACTTATTCAGTTTCATGACGTTCGGGGTTGGGTCCGGGAGTCAAAGGAATGGTAGGGGGGTCGGGGGGTCTCCCAGGCAGTTTGGGCCAGGGCGAGCCAGCACAAAAGGCCAGGGGGGCCAGGGCCAGCAGGCGGTATAGGGTTTAGGGTGTCGGGTTTAGGGTTGAGGGTCTCTGTCTGGGTTGAGGTCATGTCGTCTCGAGATGTGGAGGGCCCGGCGGCTTACGATTTGGGGCAATGGGCTTCGGTTTAGGGGCTGCTATGTTTGCGAAGCTAAGGGTCGCGGCAGAACACTCGGCCGACGTGGCCCTGCTGACCTACTGGCAGCCCTATGCAGCGGAGCACAACAAATGCTCCCGTTCAATGAATATGCTAGCTTCTTAGAAGCTAAGGCGCACACACACACACACACACACACGTCTAGCTACGAAGCTCTACTGACAAATTTGTTCTGCTACTTGCAAGAAGGGATGCGTGCAAGCCCCCCCTATCCATCTCTATTGCGTTTCTCTTTTTGTTCTTATCGCTTTACAAGGTTTCGCGACTTGCCTGACATATCCATAAACCCAAGCCCGACAATGGTCTCTGAAGCCAAGCCTACATGCCCAAACACGTGCTGGACTTCCGTTGGATCAGAATTAGGGGATAGGATTAGGGGAACCCTTGGGCGTATTTCAAGCTCAGTACTGGAATCGATGTGGGGGTTCACCGGGTTCACGGTATTGGGGGGTACCTTATTGGTGCCCTTATGACCACGGGATCCTACCATGTAGGGGGGTCTGAACTAGGGGTCCCTGATGATCGTAAACCCCCGATGTTTCCACGCACTGGTCGGATTTCACTGCTCTGCTGTACAAGCGTCGTTCTGGAATCGACTGGCGGGCTTTTCATGCATTTCGTAGTACGAGCTTAGTACTCAGTTGTTTGTTGTAGTACAAACTGAGCTCTGGAAGCGGCGTTTCTGTGAGCCGCCTGTGGATTTTCATTGTTAGTACGAGCTTAGAACTGAACGTGAGCCGGCTGGTATTTCATTGGCTTGCAGAACCAGCTTAGTATTGAAATCGATGCTTCCTTCCTCGAGCAGGCTGGATTTTCATCGTGATCTGTCGTGCTGGCTTCGTCCTGGACTTGACCTTAACGTGAGCCAGCTGGACCTTCTTGCAAGATTCGTACTGGAATCGACAGGGCCAAGACTCCATCTTGATCTTCAACCGCCGTAGACAAACAGAACAAATTCAATTGCATCAAGGAGGCTTTCGTCAAGGTCGGCGGCGCTGGCGACTGCGGCATACCTTGCACTATGAAGAGCAAGTTTCGAGACTCCAATTTACCTGCCGAGGAGCTCCAAGCTCGAGACACACATACCCCAAACACTCGCTCGAAGGCCCCCTTTGCAACGGACACTTCCTTGCAAAGTGACGCGTGCGATCCACCCCATGCACCAAGATGTTCTCCATGCGCTACGTAGCCACCATCGTCACACTGAAAACATGAATCCCAGACATAATTTCAGGACGTGGCCACCACTTGTCTTGCCATCACAAGCATGTTCTGAAGCGCCGGGCCCTCTTTCAAAGAGGCTCACAGCAAAAAAAACAAGCTCCGCGCGACTCTCACCCCACGCCATGCTCCTTCAACCTCTGCCTCTAAACTCCACTTGGACGCTCATGGGTAGGTATAAGTCGGGTTATAGGCTCCCTTTATAAGGTTATGGGCATAGTTACCCTACTTATAACCCTACCCGTGAACCTAGTAGCCCTAAACCCCAAACCCTAAACCCCCTGAACCCCACTTACAACTACCCATATGAACCTCCAAGCACTCTCCGGCCCAGCAACTGATCGTGCCCGCAACAGTGCTTAACTCGAAGGGCGATGCCTGCGCTCAGGTTTACAAATTAGGGTTTAGGGTTTAGGGTTTAGGGTTTAGGGTTTAGGGTTTAGCGTTTAGCGTTTAGGGTTTAGGGTTTAGGGTTTAGGGTTTAGGGTTTAGGGTTTAGGGTTTAGGGGTACCTTATTGGGGTCCTTGTTACAAGGGAATCCTATTGCTGCGGTACTTTTTAAGGCCTTCATAAGGGGATTTACGATAATTGGGGGGCCCCCAATATAGACCCCAGATAATAGGATCCCCTTTATGATCAGGATCCCAATAAGGTAGCCCATTTCGGAAGCCCCAATACCCAACAGATTCACCAAGCCAGAACCGCAAAAGTCCCAAACCCGGAACAATGAGCCCAAGATCAGACTATGACCCTAAACCCTAAACCCTAAACCCTAAACCCTAAACCCTAGGGGGTTCTTAAGAAATTCGTGACCAGTCGCCATGTTGCAATGAAGGAAACCGATGTCAAATCGCACGAACTGCAGCGGGGTCTGATACTCACGATACTGACAAAATCCAATGCCCTAAGCCCTAAGCCCTAAACCCTAAACCCTAAACCCTAAACCCTAAACCCTAAACATAAAGATCTGCTTTTCTTGCAAGGGTAATATAGGGATTATTGTTCAATATTCTTCCTTATAGGGGCAAGGGCGATATAGGGATTATGGTTCTCATTTTTTTTGGAGGGGGTAGTAATTGAAATGGCCATGACGGCAAGGGCATGCCAGCGCAGTGAATCTTGGCCAGTACAAGCCATCTCATTCGAAGAGGTAATGCCCAGCAAGACTTGAATGAATAAGTTTTCCCTGGTCATTGCTTCTCACGCCCCAGCGCCAAAGCCCGGGTTTAGTGTTTAGGGTTTAGGGTTTAGGGTTTAGGGTTTAGGGTTTAGGGTTTAGGGTTTAGGGTTAGGGTTTGAGGTTCGGGGGGTAAAGAACAGGGCTCGGCCACCGCAGATCACTACGCCAACTAGCTCCCCGAATTGCAAGATACGGGCCCCCCAAGGCTCTCCCTAAACCCTAAACCCTAAACCACTAAACCCTAAACCCTAAACCCTATAGGTGGTACGCGGCAGGGACCTGGGGACCGACCTGTCGCACACGCTCCATCTGCATCTGCCTCATTGCGGGCACGAAGCTTCGAGTTTCATTAGGGTTGAAGACTGACTAGGGTTTAGGGTTTAGGGTTTAGGGTTTAGGGTTTAGGGTTTAGGGTTTAGGGTTTAGGGCTTAGGGTTTAGGGTTTGGGGTTTAGGGTTTAGGGTTTAGAGGGTTTAGGGTTAAGGGTTTAGGGTTTAGGGTTTAGGGTTTAGGGTTTAGGGTTTAGGGTTTAGGGTTAGGGTTTAGGGTTTAGGGTTTATAGAACCTGCAAGGGTTAGGGCGCTAGTCTTTAGGCTTCGAGGCCTTCAGGATTTTGAGAGAGTCTACACCAAGGAGTCGGACTTTGGGGTCAAAGCGCTTGGGCTACGAGCCAAGAAGACTAGCCGGATCCCGCCCTGAGGCGCCTGAATTGCAGGGTTTAGGGTTTAGGGTTTCGGGCTCTACACTCCAAAATCTCATCGGGCAATAGGTGGCAGTTCGAAGTCCACGCGTTTCCAAGCTCCAACTAAAGAACTTTCGGAGTTGTCCGCCGATTGGATGTCTAGCTTCGTGCGTTAACTTGAACCAAGGGTGTACTAGCACAGCGGCGCTGCTTCTTTGATGCTGCTGCCGAAACACGGGGGGAACTTTCGAGTGCTCCACTAAGGCTACATGACACTCCCTCAAGCAAAGCTGCAGATTACCTCCTTCAGGGTGTGGGGAGATGAAAGGCGAGAGCATGTACGGGAGGCAACAAAGGTGGCAGGGTATCAGAATGGGTCGCAGGGTTCTTGCAGCCCAGCTTCTGATCCAAGAAGCGCTGCTGCTCCAGAGCTCTCTGCTGCTCCAGGGCTCTTTTCTGCTCCAGCTGCCTTGCTTGCTGCCCGAGCTGCAGGTGCTGCTCCATCTGCCTTTGCTGCTCCATCTGCATTTGCTGCTGGATGTACATCTGCTGCTCCAGGTACCTGCAGGGGCTTTCCGAAGTGATACCACATGGGGGCTTGTACCTTACGCGGGGGAAAACAAAGGGTGATGCTGCTAACATCTCCCCGGAAGTCCCGTATGCGAGAGAGCTCTGGGCCTTATCTGATCTGTCGTCGGCATCGCGTTGCCAACAAAAGCCTTGGTCTTCAAGTCGTAGACAGCAGCTACAGTATCATGAGGCCGCAACACATTCTTAAGGGCTTAAGGTGTTGCAGCATGAGTGCACATAGCCGTACCCTAGTCTTTCCCCCTCTGAAACGCCCACCCTGAAACCGAGCATCCCAGCACTGTCTCTATCGCATGCCTTCAAGTGAGCATCCCATTCTGTAACGGGTTTGATACTTCCAGGGTTGAGCTGAGGGGTTTTAGGGTTTCATGGGTTTGGGGGTGTCAAACATGTTTGACGCACTTTCCCCGCAGCTAGCTCCTAACACGCTCAACCCGACGAGTCGTCATCTGATCGTTCTATGGAGACATCGGCGGCAACACTTTTCATCGTAGCGGAAATAGGGCTGTGATTGGATTGGACTGGAAAGGTGTGGCAACACGGCAGTCTTTCCGGTCTGGTGCAGATGGGACGCTAAGCTCCATGCAAGTGTGGAAGCCTGTTTAGCTGGCCACTGTGCTATGCTCTCACATTCCCTGGAGGAGCACAGTCACGGGTTTGCGCGGTAGTAGTGATGAATTTGAGATCCTGTGAGGCACTTGGCGTTGTCCTTGCCTTTCGTTTGTTCGGGCATTTATGCAAGAATTGAAGAAGCTGACATGCCGCAGCTTGTTCCTGCAGTTGTTGCATCCATCGGTGTTAAGCCGTAGGTCTATTCTGCTCCCTGAGCTTCAGCCCTCAGCATGCCTGATGCACTGGAGAGCCCTTAGCCTAAACTGCATGTGGTCCTTTTTGGATCCCTATTCTACTTCGGGCTAGAATTTAAGGTACCCAAAAGGAGACCATCATTTAGAAAATGACCATAATATATATATATATATAAGAAGCCGAGACGACTTCAGCCGATGACAGCACAAGCCTGCACAACGGAAACAGAGATATCTCAAAATCCTGAACCCCGGAACCTGAACTCCCAACTCCCACCGCAGAAAAAGCCCACGAACCCGAAAAATTGCCACTGAGCCCTGAAGCACCACCGAACCCCAACCCCTTGAAGTCTAATATAGGGGCCTTCATAGTTAGAATAGGGTTTTGGGGGGGTTATCATAGTATAACTGTAAAGGGACCATAGGGGAATTCTATTAACAATTATTCCGACCCATTGAAGTCCACACTGGTCTGGAAGAGTCACGGTGGGAGGTGCGGCAGCTCCGACTGGCGTCCTTCTCACGGTCAGGCGTTGGTGACATGGAGTTTCAGGTTCAGCTTAAGGAGGAATCATGGGATTCGCCCAAACTACATGGGGGGGGGACCAGCTGGATGCAAAGGCTCCAAAAAAAACAAATTTGGAAGACCCCAAACCCTAAACCGCAATGAAGCCCTCAACCCTAGACCCTAAACCCTAAACCCTCTGGGGCTAAGGGTTCAACCGGAGAAGCGGAACCGTACACCCTCCGGGCGAAGACCAAGCTTCCGACCCCCTAGCTTGCTGCGAAACACACTCACCTAATGCTTGGGGCAGTATAGGGTTTAGGGTTTCGGGGTTTAGGGTTTAGGGTTTAGGGTTTAGAGTTTAGGGTTTAGAGTTTAAGGTGTAGGGTTTGGGGTTTAGCATTGCAACCCAGCCTCGTCATCATCATAGACTGCGTTTCACCCATGGGCATCGGCACGGGAGAACTTTGGCCCATCGGCACGGGAGAATTTTGTCCCATCGGTACGGGAGAATGTTGGCCCACCGGTACCTGGTGTGCAAGAGGCTCAATTCCACTGACACCTTAACCAGGAACACCCTACAGGGTTTAGGGTTTAGGGGTTAGGGTTTAGGGTTTAGGGTTGAGGGGAACCCAGAAAGCTTAGGAAACTTCAAGGGCTTACGAACCCTCCAAGCGAGGCTGAGGGTCTCGGACTGAGGGTGCGAAGGTTTTTGGGCATAGGAACCCTAAACCCTAAACCCTAAACCCTAAACCCTAAACCCTACAGCCTAAACCCTAAACCCTACAGCCTAAGCCCAGGGTTCGCACGCAGGTGAAGAGGAAGGAAGTCATCGGGCTCAGGCACACCCCTGATCTTCAACTTAGAAGAGCAGTTTGCTATTTTGTTAATATACAATGATGTTCTTAGATGATACCATCATATCGTTCTACTATTACATGATATGATTATACGAGTCTTTTTGCTCTGTTTGAGGTTTAGGGTTGCAAGTATATAGGGTTTTGGAGGCTCGCGGGCTGAGAGGCTGTTCGAAGTTGTGACCCATGCCTCCGACAGCGAACCCAGATCATGAACAGCTTACCCCCCCCCTCCTATACGCCCCCCTCCCCCCCATAAAGCTCTTAGTAAGCAGGGGTGCTTGCTTTCCTGAATCGGGAGACTTCTAGTGCATTTCTTGCTAAGCACTTGCTAAGCACTTCCTAAGCACTTGCTAAGCACTTGCTAAGCGCTCGCTAAGCACTCGCTAAGCGCTCGCTATGAGGCCTTGCTGAGTGTCGAGGGCTTGCTGAGTGCTTGCTAAGCTAAGAGCACGCTAGCCGCTCGATGGGGGGGAGGGGGGGTATAGCAGGGGTTTAGGGCGTTTAGGGTTTAGGGTATCCACGGCCCGCTTACTCGGGTCCAGGACCAGGACTTGTGTTGGCAGCGCCACTTGACCCACAGAACCCTCTTCCCCAAGGCGCCGGAGACCGCGGCGCCGGGAGAACCTGTTCGCCGATCTTTTGGGGACATTCGATGCGAGCTGCTATGTGGGGGTTTACGAAAATAGGGGACCCTTAATAGAGACCCCCAAAGAGTTGGATTCCCGTATAGTAAGACCCCCATAAGGGAACCTATTTTGGGAGCGTGTAACGTCTTGGAGCTCTGAAACATGGCGAGTGGCTGGAAACCTGCTTGCGGGGCATCGTGCAAAGCCATGGCTGAAAAGAACACGCTCAGAAATGCCATAACTCTAACGTGAACCAGATCGGGGTTATCGAACATAGGGGACCCCATACAGACCACCAAACAGTGGGGCCCCCTTTATAATTAATATGGACCCCAATAAGGCGCCCCTAATTTCGTAAGCCCCCGAATAGCAACCACATAGCCCAGGCGACTGTGGCCAAGCCTGGTTCGGCGTGATAAGAATGCCGGCACCGTAGCCCTGACGAAGGGGCAAAGGCGCGAGCAACACCTTCTAAACACCCCGGGTTTCTTTTTAAACTCTTAACCCCAAACATCGCTACACCCCACCCCCAACCCTAAACCCTAAACCTAAACCCCTCAACCCCTCCCCACCCCCAATTCCCGGCGCACCGCGGCGGCGGTGGGAACTCCAAAGGGCAAGACCTCTCGGGAACTTTAGGACGAGTTTAGGGTTTAGGGTTTAGGCCTTAAGGCTTAGGGTTTAGGGTTAGGGTTTGGGGTTTAGGGTTTAGGGTTTAGGGTTCATTTTGGGGACTCAGAGGGTGTTAGGGCTCTGGGAAGGTCCAGGAGGGCGGTGTGGTGAGGCAAGGCAGCGCAAGGGCGCCGGCGGGAAGACTGAGCAATGTGCAAAGCCACTCGAATTTCGATCGCTCAAGGGACTATACAAGGCATACGGAGTTTTTTTATTGATAGAGGTACATATGTATATATACATACATACATACATACATACATACATACATACATACATACATACATACATACATACATACATACATACATACATACATACATACATACATACATACATACATACATATATATGGGGGTTTTGTTAGGGAATCAGAGTAAGGCTCCCTTCTAAGGGTCCCTCCTTTTACCCCTTAAGTACCAGGGTTTTAGGGATTGAGAGGATTCAGGGCTTAGGGTCTCGGATTTTGGATTTGCGGATCTTAGGAACGCAGGGTTTCGGGTTTTAGGGTTTAGGGTCGAGGCTTTTGTGTAGCGTTTAGGAGCAAGGAGGTTCAGGGCTGAAGGATAAGATGCCAGTGAGGCCTTCTTACTAGGGTTTCGGGTTTAGGGTTTAGGGTTTAGGGTTTAGGATTTAGGGTTTAAGATCATTCGCTGGGAAGGGTGTAGGGCGAACCTAACCGCATGGCAGCCTGCGACCCAACGCAGCCGCTGTTCAAGACCTCTGCATGCGATTGAGGGTTTAGGGTTTAGGGTTTAGGGGTTGAGGGTTGAGGGTTTAGGGTATGCGGTTTAGGGTTTAATTAGGGTTGAGGGCTGCGGAAACGGAGAGGCATTTTGACGTTGAGGGCAGTGTTGCAGTCTCAGCACGTGCGTTTCAATTCCAAAGCCTCTAGATGCTGAAACTAGCTGCATTCATCTCGCCACCCGCGGGCACACCAACCAGAGTTCGCACCTCCAGAAAGGGCAGTGTTTGTTGGAGGGATGTGGGGCTTGGGTGGTTCAACCTAAACTCAAAATTTGAAAAACCCGAATCCCTATCAAGCTAACGATGTTGTAGCTGGCATGGGGGGGGAGCTCTCAAAACCCTAACTACCCTTGAAACGAAGAGTTGAGGACCTTGGAGCTTTGCGTTTTTGGTGTGTGTGGGGGGACGGCGGGGGGACATAACTCTAAACTATGTATACAGCTGTATACATATACATGGAAACCCGAAAAGAGTGGAGAACTGGGGGGGAAGGGGGGGGTAGCAGATACACAAACACAGAGAAATATGAACCCTCGCAGACATTGTGAGCCGAGGGGATCCCCTTGGTTCGGGGCCTGAACCAATGGGATCCGGATTAGGGTTTGGGAGGGTTGAGTGGAGGGTTTAGGGTTTGAGGTTTAGGGCCCAAACCCAACCTCAAATTCCTGCCTGGGGCATCTCCGACACCCCCATGGGGCCGCTGGGCACAACCTCGGGGGGGTTGACAGGGTTGAAAGGGCTGTTCGAGCAGTTCGTAGGCTGTATAGGGCTGAGAGAGAGAGAGAGAGAGCTGATCTGGCGTGAAATGCTTTAGGCAGCTTGAAGCATGTGCAGGATTGGTGTTGAGGCCACCGATCCTCGAGCCCCTCTGCGAAGACCCAAAACTTGGGTTGCTCATTGTGAATGCGTCAACTATATGACTCCAAGGAGGCGGCAGCGTTGGATTTGACGTGCAGATCACGTGCAGGCTTAGGGTTTAGGGTTCTCGAGTTCTGAAACCCAAAGTCTTCAACTCTTGCACTCTTAAACTTTAGCGTTTAGGGTAAGGGTTTAGGGTTTAGGGCTTAGGGTTTGGGGTTTGGGTTTAAGGTTTAGGGATTAGGGTTGCCCAGAAACCCTCTAGACCCTCAGCCCGGAACTCCAAAATCCTAACTGCAGGCTCCCTTCTTTTGTTAGGCATAGTTGGGGTTCTAGTACACCACACCAAACAAGTACTGCGTTAGGAGCCTTTAGGTAAACACCAGAACCGTGCAATGAACACCCGCAGCATCTCCTACACACCCTAAACCCTGAAGGCCCAGCTTCAGAGTTTAGAGGGCTAGGCTGCTCTATCGTTGTAATGAGTCCCAAGACCTGCAACAGCTCAATCACTGAGACGTTTTTAGCAGGCACCTGTAAAGATGTATGATCCAAAGCTTTTTTGCTGGTGGTATGCGCTTTCGTATCATGATTTACTGGCTGCCGCAGAGACGAATTGTGCCTGTGACTGTTCTCCAAACAGTGAACCCTACCTTAAGCAAGGCGGAGTGAATTTGGGGGCTACCTTGTTGTTTCGCTTCGAAGGGACATCGAGGCCCGCAGAAGGAGCAAGTCTCAGGTTGTTGTAAAAGGTGAGATTTTGGTTGTTGGGCAGAGATTGGCCTTACATGAGGGTTTAGGGTTTATAGGGTTTTAAGGGTTTACAGGGTTCGTTTCGTTAAGAGGGTTTATGTAGGTTTATTGAGGGTTCATCGGGTTTATAGGGCTTTTACAAGTCTTCCAGGTCGAGCAACCCTGAACCCTAAACCCTAAACCCTAAACCCTTCCAGGTCGAGCCTGGGACATGTCGGATGGTCCCGAAACTCCGCAGCAGCCGCCGGCCAAGGCCTTCTCCGCTGTCTCAAGGCTTGGCTATTTAACCTCTAGAACTTCGTGTGGGGACTTCAGGGCCTGAACCCAAAAACAGCATACTACTACCAATACGAATAAGAGTAATACTAATCATCATCATCATCTTCTTCTTCTTCATCTTCATCATAGTGATATCCTGAGCCCTTGAACCTCGAAAAGCCCGCGGAACCCTGCAAACCTAAACCCAGACACCCGGGTGACGGATCAAACAATAAATCCAGGCTGCGATACCAAATTCTCCAAAAGAACCCGTTTTCAATCAGCTCACCTCAACAAACCTTAAACCCCAAACTCCAGCCGCAGTCCTTGCCACCACATCCAGCGTTTGACTCTCCACTACTCCACCCCCACACCCACACCCGAAAAGACTCAAATGGGTAGTTTAGGGTTTCGGGTTTAGGGTTTAGGGTTTAGGGTTGAACCCCATACCCTGGGCCGCCGACCGGGGACGCGGCGAATGGAGTGGTCGCCACCTGCGGATGAGGGACTTCGGAAGCTTTCAAGAAGCTTCCCGAAACCCCGAAACCCCGAAACCCCGAAACCCCGAAACCCCGAAACCCCGAAACCCCGAAACCCCGAAACCCCGAAACCCCGAAACCCCGAAACCCCGAAACCCCAACCCCAAACCCGACCCTAAACCCAAAGCCCTAAGCCCCTAACCCGAGACCGTAAACCCCGGAACCCCCCAAATTGAAGGTCTTTGGTCTTTGAGGAGCTCAGCAACTTGGTGCTTGGGGTTCAAGGCTGAAGATAAAACGGCCGAGGATAGAACGTAAGCGACCACCAGAAAGCTCTTTTGGGTCTAAGGCCTTCGGGTTTAGGGCTTCGGGCTCAGGTTTATGATTTCGGGATAGTTGAACAGCTTCGCATAGCTATGGCAGGTGCAATGAGAGCCAAAACTATTCAAGTTGGCAAGATTCTCAAATTCCTTGTATGGTTTTGGGGTTTACGATTGTATCGGGGCTGGCGAGCTCCGTGAAGAAGCACGGGGTTGAAACAGAGTATGCCTGAGAGAATGAAAGCAGGGGGAGATAAAGAGAAAAAGACAAGAGAGAGAAACAGAGTATGACAGAGAGAGAGCGAGGGAGACAGAGAGAGGCGGAGAGAGACAGAGGGGGAGAGAGAGAGCAAGCAAGTGATATGAAAGCGTCAGGGAAACAGCTGGGGAGAAAGGGAGGTAGAGAATAGGAAAGGCAGTGCAACTGCCTGACATCTTTACAGTCAATTTGCTACAAAGGTTTCGCGGCAGTTCCTGTAAGCCGAAACCCTGAGCACCGCACCCTGAACTCTTAAATAATTGCAAGCAAGGCTCGGATTCAAGATGTTCCTTCTGAGTTTCAGGCGGAGCTGTGACGAGTCCTGCAGGACATAGTGCAAGCAGTATGATTTCGGAGTTAAGGTTTAAGTTGAAGCGCTTAAGGTGTGACACGGGGTCGCTGACCTGGCGGAGGGTGGCCCCAAAGTACAAGATACAATCCCCTCACAACTGCATGGTCGATCCCCTTTCGTGACAATCCCTACAGCACTTTCACGAACCCGAAGCCCCCTGCCAAACCTTAACCCTACACCCGGTCCTGGCGAGACGGGCCCAGGTGCGACGGGACCTGGCATGACACGGTTGGCCAAACCTGGGAGAGGGCAGGGTGTAGGGTTGAGGGTTGAAGGTTGAGGGCTTAGGGTTTAAAGTGTTAGGCTTTCGGGCTCAGGGTTTACAACGCAATGGTATACTTCATAACTCAAGGCGCATCAAACGGTGGCCCCATGCGGCCGCCGAATCAAGATCCAGGCCCCAAAAGCTATTCACAGCCCCCAAACATAGGCATCCGAAACCCCAGCCCTCTAAATTGAAACCCAAAGCCCACTGAATGTGTGGAAACCCCCAATATCCCTTCACAACAAATCGGCAAAGGTTTTGGGTTCGGGGTTTAGCGTTCACTCTTGACTTTGGCTGATGTACCGCGACCCTCTCCGAGACAACCTGCTGATGCTAGGATCTCAAACCCTAAACCCTAAACCCTAGACTCTAGACCCTAAACCCTAAACCCTAAACCCCCGAAATCATCCTAAACCCATTCTTAAAAGGACAGTCACAGGTGAGCAGGTGCCGCTCATCTACACCTTCTGTAAGCAGGAAATAGGTGCTCAAAAAAGAAGTGTGACAGAACTCGGCGTCACGCTGAGACTAACGGCCAGGTTTGGGTTTAGGGTTTAGGGTTTAGAGTGTAGGGTTTAGGGTTTAGGGTTTAGGGTTTAGGGTGTAGGGCTTTGGGTTTAGGGCTTCGGGCTTAGGGTGAAGGGTTTGGGATTTAGGATTGGGGGGGAAAGGTCCGAGGGTGCAAGCTAAAGCGATTTGGCCTCTCAGAGTCTGACCTTCAGTGAGAACCCTTGCCCTAAACTTCTTTCCCAGAACTATCCTGAATAACTATCCGGAAAAAAGGCCAGTGGTGGAAGTTCCATGGCCCCTCAAGAAAAGTGGCTCAACGCGGTTGAGGGTTTAGGGCTCGTAGTGCTGCAGCAGTGGCGGTTGTGGTCTGTGGCAGCAGATGTGGAGTTGCCGCGTCCGATTCCACCCTGCATAGCTGGCGCAGCCTTGAACCGGGTCACAAGATAAACTGCTCAACGCTCTCAGCCTCCGCTCTGGAATGCTATAACTCTCCCCTGGAACCCTACACCCTGAACCCTAAACCCTAAACCTTAAACCCTAAACCCTAAACCCTACAGCGGTCCTCGCGGTGCGGCATCTCGAGCTGAAGGGCCTTGAGGCGAAGGCGGCCCCCGCCCCCCAGGCCCACAAAAGCAGGACAACTTAGTAGGGAATGAGGGTCATCCCTTCGAGGGTATATGTAGGGCCCTCATTCCCTTCATGTCCTACTAGGAACCAGGGGGACAAACGAAAGCCGGATTTTGGAGTCCCGGTGGGGGTCTTGGCATATCTTCCAAGCATGATGAAGCTTGATAGGGGTGACGATGGTCACAAGCCGGAAGGTTGAATGCCAAATCCTTCACATTCAGACTCAGAACCCTAACCCGAAAGCCTGTAATCTTAGGGTTGAGGAATTTTGGCGGACCTTGGGCCTCTAGACCTCCCAAGCCTGATGCGTCCAGAGACTCTCATGACAAGAACAGGAGCAGCAGGAGTCGGAACCAGGCTTGCGACTTTAGGGCTCAGGGTTTGGGGATAAGGGTTTAGGATTTAGGGTTGAGGGCTTAAGGCATCTGATTCTCAAACCTTCTACGCCTCTAAGCAACAAGCCGTGGAATTGTCCATGGGGCTGTTCATGCACGCACTCTTTGCCTTCTAAAGCTCCCCGTCCTGAGAGACTGACTGGGCTTTGGCATTGGCCATTTCTGCAGCGGCGGTACCCAAACCGCAAAAAGAACTGCATCCACAAATCCCAGACTCCCAACAACTGTTCGACCGGTGTCCCGCCAAGCTGCTACTTGCAAACCCAGCGGACCCTAAACCCTAAACCCTAAACACGAAACCCTAAACCCTAAACCCTAAACCCTAAACCCTAAACCCTAAACCCTAAACCCTAAACCCTAAACCCTAAACCCTAAACCCTAAACCCTATCCGGGAGGCCGGCGTTGACGGCCGGAGTCACCTTCACAGATTCGGGGCTACAGGGGATGTCGAGTTCGTTGATCGCAGAGAGCACAGTGAATGAACAACATGAACACTTCGTTCAAATCTTTTCTAAAATCTCTTATTCTACAGCATTTTTGGTCTTTTAAGGGGGTCCGTGAGTGAAGGCAGTAAAACCCCCAAATGAAGGAAACACTATTATTTGCATTTGTTATCTTCTTTCTACTTTATTTTATTCTATTAGTATTTTATTAGATATTTCCTGCGGCCTACATTATAATTATTAGGGCCGCTACTATTATTCTCTCCTTTACAACCATTTCCTTCGTTTTTCATTCGTTCACATTTTGTAAGGAATTTATAGTGTGCATTAAAATACTGAACGAAGTGATGAAATGAAGGAGTTATAGTGTGAGAAAGGGAGATCATATGGTTGCTTCCTTGTAATTCACTTATTCCCTTATGAATATAGTATTATTGTGTGGGGGCATGAATAAACTTATATTATGAGCCCCCACAATATTATTAAAGGTGTAGCGAGTGAACATAATGAGCGTGAAGAGAATATATAATATGATTGCGCTTACAAGGTTTGGTTAAAAGCGCGTAAACTCATTAATCCAACCATAAGGTAGCACTAATACTAATAAAAGCTGTGGAAATAAAGGGAAGCATGAATGTAGTGAGTGAAACGAATGTAATGAATGCAGGAATTACCAAGAGAAGCGGTTGGACAAGTTCCGGATGTTTGGATGCACGCGTGAAAGGGCTTACAAAGAGTGGTTGAATGGTTGCGTTCCCCGGTGAATAGAACTCAAGCCTTTTAAGGGGGAATGAGTCTCAAGGTTGGGTTCTTCGTTCACAGGTTCACTTCGCCTTGTCATGAGTCTCACAGAATTAATACCAACCATATATATATATATATACATATATATATACATATATATATATATACATATATATACATATATATATATATATACATATACATATACATATATATATATATATATATACATATATATATACATATATATATACATATATATATATACATATATATATATACATATATATATATGTATATAAACGAGATACTTTTACTTCGATACTTCGAGGGAAAGAGAAAGTCATACACGTCAGTCGTTTCACCAAAACCTAAGCCCTGAAACCCAAGACTCCCCCCATCTGCCAGCCTGCGGCGGCGAGGTCTCCGCCTTGTGTCACGAAATATTGGGGGGGTCCCCACCCTCTGTGGGGGTTCTTCGTGAGGACTATGACATTTCTCCCCGACGTATTTGTGGCGTGCCCAATCGCGAAACCTTGAGCCCGAAAAAGCCTTCGAGTCTGTCCACATCTGTCCAGGTTCAAGGGGCGCACAGTCGCCACTTCAGGGTTGGACGATGTACCATGGAACCCTGGAGGGGCTCAGGCTTTAGGGCTTAGGGGTGCGGGACCCGAAGGATTTCTAGGGATTTTGGCTGACTTCGGGCACTTAGGGCTTCAGGTGCGACGTGCTGTACAATGAGCTCTGCTTCTGTAGCGTGGATCCTTGCTGCTTGAATACCTGCAGGGTAGTCAGAACCAGCATCCTAAGCTTTCGGGGGCATTTGGCACCATCTGACAAAAGACAAGGACGAAATCATGTGCTTGCAGTGTCAGGGCGAGGGGGCTTAAGGAGATGGGGGGGATGAGCACGCTCCTGAAAGTTTACACTATTGGGATGGTTCGCCTTGCAAGCCTCCCGCTGGGTCGAGGCGCGTCGCTTGCCTTGGAAGGCCCTGACCTCCACCCTTAAACCAAAGATTCTGAACCCCAAGCCCCAACCTGCCCTAAGCCCGAAACCCGAAACCCGAAACCCTAAACCCTAAACCCTCAACTCTAAATCCTAGCTAGGTCCCTACAAAGGGGAGGCGACGCTTAAGCCCTTTGACTTCGATGGCGCAAGCGCCAGGTCGTTCGCCCGCCTCCCACAGCTCGGGGGTCGGTAGCAATCACGTGGGGCCCGGTACTGGAACCAGTGCTGGTCCCTTATCTTAAAGTCTCAGGGGGGGGTACGCCAAGGGCTCCAGCCCAGCAGGACCCGGACAGACCTCGGGGGCTCAGGCCAGCTCAGGCTTTGGCCTCCTCCACCTCCCTGGGCCCCCCTTGGTTTGGGTGCCTTTGCCGCCTCGGACGGCGTGGGGTGGGAGAAAAGTGTCAGATGGCCTTCCACAATCGGGCAGAATCTATGCCCTATCACAGCAAACCCTAAACCCCAAACCCTAAACCCTAAACCCTAAACCCTAAACCCCCGAAGCCCTGAAGCCCCGAAGCGCCTCGGCCGCCTCGGCTCCGGTGACTCCCGGGGAGGCGCCACGGACGCTGGCAGATGCCTCCAGAGGGCTGTTCTGAGCTACAAGATTGGTTTAGGGTTTAGGGTTTAGGGTTTAGGGTTTTGGGTTTTGGGTTTAGGGCTGACCTTCCTCCTCTCGGTCTGACTTTTAGACGTTGGGGGTGCAGAGGAACCTTAGTCCCTAAATCCAAGACCCAAAACATCCCTAAACTCTAAACTCTAATCCCTAATCCCTAATCCCTTTTCCCTGATCCCTAATCCCTAAACCCTAAACCCTAAACCCTGAACAGGGCTCCGGCCTGGGGCCTTGCCAGCTCCGCAGACCTTCCTTCTCCTCCATCCTATGCCGGGTCATGGAGGGTTGAGGGCTTAGGGTTTCTTCGCGCTTGAAGGTCCATGGGTAGAAAGCTCTACTCCTGAAACCCTAAGCCCTGAACCTGAAAACCCTAAACCCTGAACCCGAAACCCTAAACCCTAAACCACGAAGAACGACCCCTATGAACCTCTAGGTAAACCGCTTTCCGGGGGGCGCATGGAAGCCTTGGGACCGATGACTCGGCAGCTTCGGCCGTTGGGATGTCGGGGTTTAGGGTTTGGGGGTTTAGAGCTTGGAGTTTAGGGTTTAGGGATGTTTAGGGATGTTTAGGGCTTCGCGTTTAGGGCTTAGGACTAGCTTACGGTTTAGGGCTTATGGTTTGATTGCATCAACACAAAGTGTTCAAGGATCTGACTCCCCTTCAGCTCTGAGCTTTGTGCACCCAGACCCACCTCTCTGAAGAACCTCCAGATGCCCAAACCCCCTCGACAGAAAGGCACGAACTCGTCCTGGCCCTCGCCGACTGGGAGTTCTTCGTCGCTGTCCTGCCATGCCAGCTGTGCCTTCTATGGCTTGAAAGCTGGTAGTATCGGTTCCATGTTTCAAGTGCTTTTGGTTGCCGTTTTGGGCTCAGACTTTAGAACTGCACAAGGTCAAATTCGGGTTGCCATGGATTTGTTGCTTCGCGGTCTGGCATTTGGACTGGCTGCGGGCTGCCGGGAGTCTCGGTTTGCGCGATCCGCCTCGTTGAAATCCTCACCGGCCAGGAACTGTGCGACGGCCGACCTCGCATGACCCTCGATGCAAGAGCTCACTCACACATCTCACTCGCACTCCCCGCAGCAACATACACACGCAGGCAGATATATATATATATATGTATATACATGTATATAACTGTATATATATATATACACATATGCACACACACACACACACCTGCTCCTCGAAACCTAACTCATACGCTTATAAGATGATGAAACTCACCGTGAGGGCCACACGTCATCCGCTCGGCGAGTCGCTTGTCAGGATCCTTCAAACATGAATGGTCCGAGTTTTTCTCATCGCGTTCTGGTGCCGCTCTAGGGACAGCAAGGGCTCAGCAGAAGATCGGGGGGCCTTCAAGGGTCCATTCGGGATTTCCTAATCACCCCGGTGCCAGCCAACCAAGTGCCGGATTGTGTCTGAGGGGCTTCGACTTCAACTCAAGACGGGCAATCTGATCTTCACCCAGCCGACTCTTGCTCGACGCCGCTCAGGCCCGCACCTGCGGGTCGCGTGGGGCTCCTGCACAGTTTGGAACTCTTCGGCTTCACATCGAGGCAGCCAGAAGGCACATTATGCAGGTAGATAGCCCGTAGAGGGGGCACCCCAAGCCAGACAAGTTTATCTCTGAAGCCAGCGTGAACAGATCAAAAAGCGAAGGATCCCAACGAAGGGCAGGCGCCAAATCAATCACAGGCTGAAGCAGGAAGGAACCAGACCCATCAGCTTATTGGTGACTTAGAGGGTATTGAGATCTGGGTCAGACGGCAGACCACTTCCCAGCCTTCCCCGGCGGCTTCAGCCGTTTCCTGGATGAGGGCTCTGGCGACCTAGAACCCCCCAAACACCCTAAAAGCCTCAGCCGAATAGGTTTGGTTCGAGGTTCCCAAGCACGCACAGCACCATCCCTTTGCACCTGACATGTCCCAGCCGCCCGACTGCAACAACAGTGGGTTCAGGGTTCGGTGACACCTCAAACTCTGACGATCACGAATCCTAATGAGATGCTCAAGGAACACGTGAAGTCCCACCGGGCGCATAGGGTACAGAACCACCAAAGCACCCATGCATATGGTATACATATATACATATATAGGTACATGGTTATACGTTACAGTCATACTACGTATACAATATTCAGTATACAATGCACAACATAGAATATGCAATATACAATATACAACAGACAGTATTCAAAATACACGATACAATATACAATATGCAATATACAGTATACGACATGTTCCATATGCAATGTACGATATACAACATACGATACACAATGTACAATACACAATATACCACATACCATGTACCATATACACATACATATGCATATGCATATGCATATACCTATACCTATACCTATACCTATACGTATGCGTATACATATACATGTTCATGTTCATGTTCATGTTCATGTTCACATACACATACACATACACATACACATACACATACACATACACATACACATACACATACACAGTGGCGTACTTTGCAGATGCAAGCCACTGAAACCGACTCCTCACCGACCCCAACATCAAAGGTAGCTTCGGACCGGCCTGTAAACATGACGAACGATGAAACAAAACATGCACGTTTGAGCAGATCGTTTTCTCACGCAAACAAGTGCTGCAGTATATCAGGATTTTTTTAACAGAGAACCCCCGATTCAATGGAAAGAAATCTTTGACAACGAGACACGAAAGTTTATTTGCAACCTTGCGCCCGGAAGCCGACTCCGAAACCACAACCGTCCAACTCTTAGATCCTCCCAAACTGCCTGGGGAATCCTCCCTGAACCCTAAACCCGAAAAACCCTAAACCCTAAACCCTAGACCCTCAGAGCCAGGCTTCTTCATCCTCAGGAAGACGCCGCCGCGAAGGGTCCAGCTGCCGCTGCAGCAGGGCCCACTGCACGCAACGAACCGCTCCGGGGACCGGTAGGGTTGAGGAGTGAGGGTTAAGGGTGTAGGGTGTAGGGTTTAGGGTTTAGGGTTTAGGGCTTAGGGTTTAGAGTTTAGGGTTTAGGGTTTTGGGGTTTGCGCTTTGGGGTCTGGGGGTTTAGGGCTTATAGTAGGAGGCTACTATAATCCCTATTAAGGACTGTTAGTATGTGGAGTTTACGGTAAAGGGTTTTAGGGCCAAAAGGATTTCGAATTTCAGGTTTCGGTTTGAAGGTTGAAGATGTAGGGCGCACTCAGTCAAGGTTCCTCGGAGGAGAATGCAAGAAAAAATCAAACTAAAGTAACTATGTAACATGACGTTGAAGGACTCACACGTCAAATTGGCTTAAACAATTGTTTTCACCATATTTCGGTGACACTTTGTACTTGTTTTTGCCGAAGCACGGCAGCTCTTTGTCTTTCGTTTTGCCTGTTGACCCTGGATTCGTCTGTCGCACGCTTAGATCAGACCACTCCCATCTCCGCATCCACCTGATGCAGAAAGCCCTACGGAGTCCTTGAGAGGATTCCGGAAACGTACATGTTCCGCGGAATTCTGAGCTTGGCGTTGGTTCTGAAATGTAGATCGTAAATCCTAGAACGCACTAAACCCACTAAACGTAACCCTGCGAACGCCGAAAGGGGTGTATAGGCCTTCGGGCCATGAACAGAAGTTAGCAGGCATTCGGGCTTTCAGCTTTGCCCGTTAACACGGTTGAGGTTTAAGGTTTAGGGTCCAGTATTGGGCACTCCCTACGATAGGGACGCCGATTGCACCAGGCCTCTGAGTAGGTCACCCCTTCCGGAGCGGAACCATTCCCAAACCAACTCATGGCTGCTGCCAACCTTAGGGTTTAGGGTTTAGGGTTTAGGGTTTAGGGTTTAGGGTTTAGGGTTTAGGGTTTAGGGTTTAGGGTTTAGGGTTTAGGGTTTAGGGTTTACGGTTTAGGGTTTAGGGTTTAGGGTTTAGGGTTCAAGGAAAGGTTGCTGGGCTCAAGGAAAGGTTGCTGGGCTCCTGCTGCAACAATTAGCCAAACATGGCTTACAATCCATGTGTTTGCTTCCAAGTGCCCGGCACTTCCACCGGAGGCCATCATGCACCATTTTCTGTGCGCACAAAGATCGCTCTGACAGCTACAACTTCTGCAGAAAAGATTCAGGAGGCCGTAAGGCACGGATGCTTCGTTCGAGGTGCATGATGTCCAATACTCATTGCCAATGCCGACACTAACGTAGAACCGCGAGCCAAAACAAGGCGTGGAAAACTGACCAATAGAATGACAGGTGGAATTTATCTGTGAACTTCTCGCGCGAGCCAGATCTGCCCTTCCGGAGCAGGGCCAATGATGCCCATTCTCTGACGAGGGCGCGCCTTATCCCCGACAAGTTTGGAGACCCGAGCCCCCGATAAACACCGAACCAACCCCCGGACAGGAAAAAGACAAGCATCCACGACAACAACTTTCTAAACCTTCGAGGCGCTTGCAAAACCTCCGAAACTCTCAACGCCCTCCAAACCTAGTAAAACCTCTTAAACTTAAACTCTCCCGAAACACTGTCAAACCCTGTGAAAGCCTCCGAAGTACCAACACTCCCAAAGCTCTTGTGAAGGCTAGGGCTGTAGGGTGCAGATCAGGCGCTTTTCTACATAGTACACATACTCATATCTCTGATTGAAATTAACACATATCTCTTGATAGGAAAGCGTTAAGTCCCCAGACAGAGCGAACAGGATGGCACTGGTCGCTTCCGAGTTCGCATGTCCGGAGACAGTGCAAAGGTCTTTGGTTTTTTTCAAGCAATCTGTATGCAAGCCAACCTCTTGCTTGAAGCACTCTTGTATTCAAGCCAAGGTGTTGCTTGAAGCCCTCGAATTTGTCGGGCTGCTCAATTGCCCTGCAAGTGCCCCGGAACCGAAATTTTGCTGGAGCCAACCAAACCACTCCAGACACTCCCAAACCAAGACGAAGACCTTCCGAAGACTCTACCTGAACCCTACCCAGGTCTACTTTCTGAACTTCAGTCAGGAAAGGTTCGTTACGAATTATGTCGTGGGTGGTTGGGTTCTTGTCGTGGGTGTGTGCAACCTAGTTTAGTCATGGATAAGGCCCACTCTCGTGACCTTGAGGGCATTTAGGGCTTAGGGACTGTAACAAAACGCCGACAATGACACTATTGTACTGTCTCATATGACAGAGCAGTGGTATATTGCGAGAATATCCCGAATACCCCCCAAGCAAACTGCATAGAGTACTAGAGCCCCTACGGCCCCATAGTAGTTGGTACCTTTGTGGGAAATATTTATTATAGTCCTATAATGATACCGCAATAGCAATATATTTAGATTATTGTAATATCCTAGTCATAGAATTATATTATAACGGTATTGTAATTTTACCCCCAGGCCGCCAGGCTTGCCGTCAGACACAGCTGCCACTCATGGGGTGGGGGGGTGGTGGTTCCGTCCTGCACGGAAAAAACAATGCAAGGGCGAAACGTTCTTTGTAAACCCGAAACAGTCCTTAATCGCAGATTCCGACACAGTCCTGCTCTGCAAATCCAATCCCAACTCCCCCTGGGCTCAAGGTTGGCAGGTTTTCGTTTGGCGACAGGGGGCTCGCAACCCGAAGCCGCGACGCATTTGACGCCGCGAAGTGCAAGTGGCTGCGCCTGGAGCGAAAAACAAAAGAGCTACTGAAAGCCCGTCTTCTGCCTGAAATTGGACCACGAATTTTGCATAAATAAAAGCCTCTCAGCTCTGCTACATGATAGGATGTCTTGGGCTCCAAGCAGGACAACACCGTAAATAACAGTGTTCTTTGTATGCGCGTACACATAAGCTGCTGAGAATGTACTCATGTGCCCGACGGTAAACGTGGCGCCCGGCGGCAACCAAAAAAAGTTCCAAATCAAGCAAAAAACCATAGCGGCAGCGCGACGCCCAAATTTCGTGACCCAAAATTCTCCATCTGCACATGCCTCCCGTACTACAAAACTTTTTCGACTTTCGAGACGCAGCAAAGTCATCCTTGCCTAGCGAGCAATCAAGAGCGCGGCAAACTGAGAGCTGCCGGCCTATTATATAGGCACAAGGGCCCCATGGGGTGCCCTGCCAACTTGATGGTGTGAAACGCATCTTCATATCTTATACAGCTTGTATACAAGGGTGTAGGAACTCTGAGACTGTACAATCAGTGTCCCATCCCTGTACAGCACAGCTCATCTCAGATTCACTCTGCCTGAGGCAGCTCCGGTGGCACACGTCTGACACACCACAGCATTCTAGCACCTCGCTGATGCCCATGCTGAAGGGTGCAGGCATACGGAGCATGGGCTTCTTTTGCGAGCAGCAAGTCATCACGGTGACGGAGGATGGTGCAGTATTTGCCCAGAGAGGTCCCCGACGCTCCCCCTAGGTGCATGCCCACTGCCTGAACACTGTATGCAGTGTATTGAATGTCAAGGGAAGACTTGTCGGCAAAGGTTGGTACCAGAATGGTATCCCAGTCCCAAGTAATGCGCGGGAAGGATGCATACAAACTACAGGCAGAGCTGGGCATATCCGGAGACAAAGCTACAGCATCACGTCGCTGCAATGGGTCCCGAGCCGTGTCAGGCTGCAGCGCAGGCAAAAGGTATATCGAAAGAACGGATGGAGGATCAAGCAGGCCACAGAACTCATCAGAGAAGGCCCAAGCCTCCAGGCATTGCTGCACAGCCACAGCCATGGATGCTGCAGGAACATGTAGGCCAAGACCATGTGACGTGGACCTAGTTCCGCAAATCATCACCCGGCCTCCAGTAGCTGATCGCTTCTGCCAGCTACCATCATAACATCTCAAGCCTGGCATGTGCACTTGAAACAGAACTTGCATGGCACCAAAGTGATGGGAACTGCACCTCGCCCATTCCCCTTGGATGAGGCGCCACTCCTTAATGGTTTGCAGCAAAGGGCCAGGATCCGGTGCTTGAAGCACCCTCCACACACGTTGCAGACTCTGGGGCAAGGGCCCGCGCAAGTAAGTAAAAATCCACAGTGTGCCTATCAGCCACGCAAGGCCACAGGTGTGCATTACACACGCGGGCAGACAACTACGCCGGAGGGCCTCTTGCATTCCCAGGTGAATGCACTGCACACATCGTCCCCCATCCACGAAGGGCAGCGTGTTCAGTGGATTCAGCGAAGGCAGTCCTGAATCCTCTGCGCTGCTGCAGACCGTCCCGGTTTGTCTTTGCGAAGACGAGCACCTATGATCTGCAAAACCGAGCACTGGCACAGCACCTTCAGGCTGCGATACAGGTCCGCTGCCTCCTGGCCCCGGCGACCCACTTCTATCTCGAAGTGCACGAACTCCGAGAAGCTGTACTCGGCCTTCGCATGGAAGCGATACAGCACCGGACTCTCGTTGGCCTTCTCGCAGACCGTAAGGAGCTGTTGAATCTCCTCTGTCTTCAGGGGTGTACGACTCGTGTCCACTTGGAGCCGTTCCAGCTCGTGGTTACACCCAGTGGCCCTGAGCATCCAGGAGTTGCACATTTTTCGCATTCTCCAGCAGCTTCTCGTCTGTGGATACTTGGTGGAGACGGTCCTTCAGCGCCTTCAACATGCCAGCCATCATCGTAGCCCTCAGCGACGCCTGAAGCTGAGCTGGCGTGGTGTCTCGCATCTTCTTCCACTTCTTGGACACCTCCCACAGCATCCCCACAATGGACTCCTCGCCAGTTCCGCAGCCACAGATGGAGTACCGAGTCTTGGCGTTGGAGACTCAGTTGATCCTCGTGCCTCAGGCTCAGCCGCGCCATCTGCGTCATGAGGTCCCTCTCGTAGTGACCCCGCCAGGCATTGCCCTCCGGAAGCGTCCATCTGTCCTTGGCCTGTTCTTTACCGCTTGTTCCAAACTGGGTTTGAACCCAAAAGCCCAAAGCTAAACCTGAAGAATCGCAGAGCACATACAGAAGCTGCGTGTCCCACACATTTTTCATCAGTGGGCGAGTCAATGATCGCATTCTCGCATGTGCCGGTGCACACACCACGGTGCACATACATTGCACATGTGTCTCACCATACCCTATAGAACCTCAAGCCCCCTTTGAAGGCGAGGCAACTGTACATGCAACACTAGTGTGAGTGCCGATAGCATACAGGGAGTTGAAGCCGCATCAGCGGGCCCTGTTTTGTCATGCCCTGGGTGGGCCGGGTAGGTCAAAATTTTTGCACTGAGCTGTGGAGCCAGCGCTGCAAACACAGATCTCCAGCAAGCGAAGTTCCGCAAATTGCTGTTCGTAAAAATCAAGCATGACAAGCAACAGAAACCTTTTTGGGTTGCAAACCACGAACAAACGGCCCACACCGTTTTTCGAAGAGCCGATATGGAAGCAAGCGGTAAAACACCATTCGCTCGCGAACAGTAAGCTTACCGCTTGTTCCAAACTGGGTTTGAACCCAAAAGCCCAAAGCTAAACCTGAAGAATCGCAGAGCACATACAGAAGCTGCGTGTCCCACACATTTTTCATCAGTGGGCGAGTCAATGATCGCATTCTCGCATGTGCCGGTGCACACACCACGGTGCACATACATTGCACATGTGTCTCACCATACCCTATAGAACCTCAAGCCCCCTTCTTAGCCGAAAGACCAAGGCAGATGGCATCCAGGTGCTCGGACACATCGGAACACGGAACACTTGTGCCACCCCACAGCAATTGCTGGGTCACCAGTCTTGACGGGTGGTCTGCGCAGTTCGACGGGGAAGGGACCCGTGAGAACCAAGGGATGAACTCGCACCCCACCTCCAAGCCAACAAACATAGTAAGCAGATTTTTCACTATTGGGGACCTGCCCCGACAGGAAATCAAAATATCCCTAACCGCATTGTTGTCGATGAAAGCCACAACAGGTGAATGCGCAACCCTTTTGCCCCAAAGGCTGAACGCAAGCAGCACTGCAACAAACTCCGCCTCCATTATAATCGTGTCCTTGTTAAGCTCACCCAAGAGCTTGCGGGCATCCCTGTCAAGGGCATGAGAGAAACCAGCAACCAACACACCCTTGTCATCAAACAGAAGGCCACCCACGCCGCAAGGCAGGGTGGGATCATCTTTCGAGTATGACGCATCCGTGAAAACATACCAGGTTCGTTGCTTGCTAACCTGCACTAATCGAGGGCGGCCGCTTTCCAACATGTCAACAAGCGAACTGAAGGTGTCGATGCACTCATCCGGCAGGTCGGGAGGGGCACAACCGTGGGCGTACTCCGAAAGCAGTTGCAAGCAAAATTTGCTCTGGCGTCCAAACAGCTGGCCACTCGCAAACTGAAGTTTTCCCCTCAGCTTGAGAGCTTGAGGCACACTCATACGCCGGTCTTGCTGGGCCTGCTTCATTGTCTCAACAAGGAGATGAACTCTCTTCTCCGTATTGCAAATAGTCACCCGACCCAAGCGGGCACTTGATAGCACTATGTCAACCCCTAGTGCACAAAAGGCCTCGGCGAACGGTACATCCTTCTTCCCACCCTGGGCGAGGTCCCATCCCAACAAGGCGAAGAGCAAGGTGATTGTTTGGTGTACATTGGCCACCTGTGTGCCTTTAGCCACCGACACAAAGTCATCGAAGTAGTGGGACCAGCAAAGGGCGAAAAAGGATGCACCTAGGTGCCAGATCGAATTAACGGCTCGCAGAAAAGTTGACACGGACTTGACAGCCCCGAAAGGGAGGGCGTGAAGCTGGAACACTACTACCCTCTTCAGGTCAGGATCCCACAACCCAATGTACGAGGCCCATGCCCCCGTAGGGTCCAGTGCCAATTGTCTATAGGCACTGACCAGGTCATAGAACCTTCCTTTGAGACTACAACCCGGCAGCACTCGCATCAGAGACAGGCACATACCCGCAATGACGTCAACTGTCTGGGGACGCACAGTCTCCAATGTCTCGACGGAGCCATTGATTCCTGACCCCGAGAAGTCGTCAATCAACCTGATCTTCCCATCCTGCTCGATCCCAAACCTTCGAGACACGATGGCATCAGGTGGCAGCTTGTCCACCTCGATGGGACCGGACAACCAGCCCCTGTCGCGCTCCTCAAGGGTTTTCGTTTGGACCTCGCGATCGAGGGACTCCCCCTGGGACTTAATAGTGGACAACAGGGCTGCCCTAGATGTGGGGGCATCTCTTTTGAGCTGCTCAACCGTGACCGACGCCGGCTTGAACTTTGGAGCGAACACTCCTGTATCGGGCACCGGGCCCCCCAGGTTAGTACCTGAGATCACTTCATCAAAGATGGCCACATCATCATAGGAAGCCTCAATCATCATTGCCTTCCACAAGAGGAGACGCTTAGGCTTGAGAATCGTCGAGACCTGTTTGTGCATAGACGCCTTCAGTGCATCTTCCTCACTTCTGAGGTCTTGTGCAAGCTTGAGCCACTTTGCAAACTGTCGCGCCCTCAACGCGCACAGCTCCGACTCTGTCATCGAAGCATGGGTGCACACCGCGTCTGTGAGAACCTGTGGCAAGGCGACCTCGAGAGTTCTAGGATGGCCAGCCTTGACTGCCTCACGGACAAACTGTTCCGGGGAAAAGGGAATACCCCAAACAAGCTCGTTCCTCCCCTGCTTAACCGGGACCACTTGTAGCAGTTGGGCTTCGGCCGGCACCGAGCGTTCGGGGCAGACGGCCACTGGTGGCAGGGGCCACGAGTCCTTAAGGCGGGCACGCAGGGGGACAGGACACGAAACACGTGGAGGGATTCGTACTCGCAAAATGCGAGCATGTTCGGGCACACGGGGCCCCGTCACCGAGGCCTTCGGCTGACTACCAACTTGGCCACGGACAAGCGACAGCTGGAGGCCTGCGGGTGGGAGCGTGCGGGGCGGGCAGGCCTGAAAGAAAGCTTGGGCCAGAGCACGGGCCAAGGGGAGTGGATATGCAGCCTCCAGGGACGTGGAAAATCCGTTAGGTGCGTCTGGAGCCACCCCCCAAGGCAAATGACATGGGGCGCAAGGGTGCCCCGGGCAGGATTTGCATATGCCGTCAAACGCACCCCGAGTGTATGCGATAGCCGTCCATTTAGGACGACGCCCGCCATAAGCGCAGCTTTGGAATGCAGTAAACTGAAGGAGGTGCGCGATTCGTGCAAACATGGAAGTGCGCCAGTAAAGGCTTTGTCGGGGGTTCTCCACCCCGATGACAAGGTCGCGAGAAGCAGCCTCAAGAACCAGGTCAGACACACAGTCGTAGAGCTGATTAGCCAAGGTGACTCGGAGGAGGGCCTGCCCACTGAGCTGCGGCAATCCGTTCGGAAACTTTTCCGAGCGGAGAGGAGGGGGTCCAGGAACACCTTGAACTTCCCTTGCACGGCTGGCCGTTCCACACGGTGGAGCGAACCAAATGCCCACACAGTTAGGCATAAGAAGCCACCGTCGAACCAACTCGACGCCCTCAGTCGTACACAAGTCGATAAGATGAACATGACAGGCGGCGCCGGGAAGGCGTTTATGGTCAACCGCGACAGCATCAAACCCAAGCTGCTTTAGGCAGGCCGAGAGCCTGGACATACCGGAGAAGACCTCGATAATAAACGGTGGCCTTGAAGACTCCACACTGGCAGACGGGGCGGGCCCTGGGGCAGGCTCCGGCGTGAGGCTCGTGACATCCGGAACGGCTGACAGCGCTGGAAGGAAGGCTGGTGGCAGGGCAAACCCAAGCTCAAGGAGGGCCTGGGGAACCTCAAGCTTGACTGATGGCATATGAGGCAACGCATATGCTACCAGGACAACACGGCGGCCCTGCCATGGTTCAGTCATGTGCCAGTGGTCTTTAGCAGGCAGCTCGAGGCAGCCATCCTCGAAATTGAGCACACGACCCTGGACCGGAGAGCCTTGGACAGGCCGAATGTCTTGCCCCGGGCCTTCACACCAAACACCGCCCCCAGTGAAGCCGGAGATCTTGAAAACCAGATTGGGCGTTGGCCCATTGTGGGCATCCCGGTGAGGCTCAGTAGGGATGTCACAAAATATGGCCAGAGAAGTGAAGACCGCAGCCGGCCGTCGTTGCCTAACGAACGCACAGAGGGCCTGCGTGACCTTTGGGAAACGAGAAACGTTGGTCCGAAGGCCCAGCACACCCCCTCTCCGGAACATGCCAGTGAAAAACGAGCTACCCGACGCCGCCTTATGGGGAGCTTCGTGCGGAAGAAGCTCCCACAGGGAGAGCACAGACTGAGGTTCAATAAGCTGGCCCTGCAAAAGTTGCTCAGCAAGCTCTTCAGGGTCATCGCAAGCAACACATGAATTCAGCTGAGAGGTTGACACAGGAGTGACGGAAACCGGGGGCTCAGCCTTGTGCACAGATTGACCGACCACAACGGGAGCCACAAAACCAGTTTCGACAAGCGGCGGAACGGCTGTCAACACGGGCTCATCCGACGTTGAACTAACAAACTCCGCCTCTGGCACTGACTGTCACTCCTTGTGATCCTTGATAGGGCGCGGCTGGAAACACTTGCAACACAGGTGCTTGCGAGGGCATGTGGCTGCGGAACATT